CAATTGACGAATGCTTGCGTCATCGAATGCTGCCACATGTAGAAGATAAGAATTCCTCTGCTCAGCACACGCCCCTGGCCAGGATGCGATTGCCACCCATGCATTATACTACTATACGACTGATTCGGGCTAAACGAGTCGTTTATTGCAACGTTCTTGTCGTCAACGTTGTTGTTGTTGGGCAATCATCAAACGGTTTAGCTGCAAAACTAATTGCATTACATCAATTTTTCTGTTAAAAGTCAATAACCAATCAAATACACATACACACACACATATATATATATATATACATACGTATATAGAAGCAGAGAGCCAGAGTCAGAGCCAGAGCAAGAGCCAGACGCAGCGCGGTTCAAAGTTTGCAAACGTGCAGTTAAATGCACACAGACACGCACACACACACATATATACTTGGACAAAATCAACCAGCGGTCAATTTAATGGCAGTGCGAGTGAGCGAGAAGGACGCAGTGAGAGGGAGAGAGACAGAGCAGGCAACGCAATAATGACAGGAGTAATCACATTAGCCCCGCATAAACTTTTGCGTAGCATGTTCTGATCTAAGGGTTGTCAAGTGGCCTTAATTGAATGAAATTCAATAAAAACTTGCCCTTAGCTTCATTTGAGTCATAAACTAAGCCTACAAATTAACTAGAAGTTTTCATTTTCGAATCCATAAGTAATTGAAATTCAATCAAAATTATTTTCACATTCAGCCAATAACTGGCAAATAAAGAGCAGAGAAACTTTAACTAAGACTAAATTAATTGCGTGAATTAACTTCTGAGTTAACAGATGAATAAATATCTTATTGGTGAAAATAAATTTATATGTATGTATATTGTGTTGAAATAATAATTTGACAATGAATTTAAAATATATTTTGATTTTTAATTTTAATATTTTCATGCCTAAAATTAATTTTAAAGTATAAAGTAAGACTTTTATTATTTAAAATAATAATTATAATTAATAATATAACTTATTATATATATAAAACTATTTTTTAATAATATTTTAAAATATTTCTAGTCTAAAATTAATAAATATTAATTAAATACCTTCAAAGTTATTCAAAACAAGTTGTCTTCAGAGCTTTTTTCATGTAACTACTATATTCAAATATTATTATTTATAAGAAAGCATTTTACTGAGCTGATTTAAGTCAGATGCAGTGCTAGCGACAACTCTGCCACTGTTTTAAAGGCCGGCATGCATTTGCCACTGCTACTCGTCCCTCGACTTAGTCCCACACCCTTGTGAGTCGATGACGTGTTCATGCAGCCGCTGTCAATGTGGTGCGTTTCAATTTTGCAGCCACATGACCGACCCACACACACGCACACATACACATAGCCTCCGAAAGGTGAGGCTGGGGAAATTAAAGCTGAAAAACTGGAGCCAGGGGTCGGAGTTGGCGCCAAATGTTGACGGGTCGCGACGACCAGTTAGTCAGGATCCGCTACGAACGTTAAATCGTTAATTGATTACGGCCAACATTGATTGTTGTTGTTGATTTTTTTGTTTGCCCTGGCCCCCAGCTCTCGGGGTCGTGGCATTGTATGACTGGATTACACTGCCAGCAGCCGGCCACTCTTTTATGATGGCGACGTCGACGACAGAGTATAAAAATCCATTTCTGTTTTTACAATGCTTCGAGGTCAGCTCTAATGAGCGTACAGCTCAAAACGAGACGCTCGAATTGGAGACGAAGCACAGGCAAGACAACATGTGGAGGAGGAGGCGGAGCACATGCTCATCAACATGGACAGCCAACAAGGCAGCCATTTTAAAACTAATTGCTAAGCAAAGGGCATGCGAGCCAGTGTTGAACCCAGATCACGTACGCATCAACAACAAACGCACCACCGCAAATACAGACAATCTGGCTAAAATAAGTAAAGTATAACCAACAGGCATAAGAACTTTTGAGCGGGAGCAAACATGCCAAAGGCCAGCAGCAGCAGCAGCAGCAACAGCAACCCACTCAACGCTCAGCCATTGAAATCAGAGAGACAGAGCTGCCAAACAGCGCTCCAAATAGAATACGAAGTGGCTGCCCAGCCCCGCTGGCTCTGTAACTGATATTACAGTTAAGGCGGTAACAAGTCAGCACCACCCAGAAAAACGACGCATCATGCGCGGCCACTCAAAAATGTTTACAACAAAAGCCAAAAGCGCTGCCAGCAGCTGAATTGAATTTGGCCAAAGCCAAATACGTAGATACGCCGGCTGCGTTCAAGCATGACTTGAAGTAGTCAAATGCACAGCACAACGAATGCGTGCATACCCTATCGAAGCTTTTCAATATTACAGTCAATCGGAAATGGCATGAGACAAAAATATTCTTTGTCACTTGAAAAAAGGTTACAGAAATCTTCCTAAGGACGATATAAATATAAACAAACAGTTTTGCTAGTGTCTGATAGAAAATTTAATTAAAAATATAAATCTTTTGTATAAAATATATAACAATAAATAAGTAACCAAAAAATCTTGAATATGACAAATTAGTTATAATAAATTACTTTTAAAATATATCTTTCATATCTAAAACAAGCTAAAAATAATTTACTATTTCTTAAGGCTTAAGTCGTCAACTATGAGATTTACTCGCTTAAACTTAGAGGAGAGAAAAATTACTATAAAATTATTAATGAAACTAACTTCTTATTTATATATGATAATAATTACATAGGACATTATTTAAACAAAGCTATAATTTAAAATATTGTCTAAAATAAATATTGAAGAGTGAAATATATATCTAGAATAATTTTAATTATTTTAATTTTTTAAAAAGTAAAAAAAAACTATTAAAATATTTATAAGATATTACAAAAAGATATATAAAAAATAAAATATTTTAATGCTTTGTTATTTTTAACTAAGAAATTAAAGCCTCGAGCACGCCAGCTTGACAAAAAAAGTTGTTGAAACCAATAATATTGTAAAATCAAAAATGTAAACACAATTAGAAATGTAGTAAATAAATAAACATATGTACACATGCACAAATATATGTGCATATATATTTATATAAATATAATATCAACAATAGACGTTGCCAAAGGCTTGACAAAACTAAAGCAAGCTATTGGCATAGAGCATAGAAAGGTATGGTCAATACCTGACAAGCATTTAAAGCAGCAATTATTTACTCGATGCCAAATGACAACAGTAGTGGTAGTAGTAACAGCAGCAGCATCAGCAGCAGCAGCTGGTGCATGAGTTAAACCAACAAACTGGAAGCAAAGCAATTCGTATACAGATCTGCGAATTCCACTCTGCAGGTAGCTTGTGGCGTTGTCGGCAGCAAGAATTCATTCAATTTGATTATTTTAGACAGGCCAGTTAAAAACTTGAGAGAGAATTAGCAAATGGAGGCGCAGTTTGGCTTAATTAAAGGCACAGCAGGGCGTTGCGGCAGGAGTCAAGCAGCAGCACGCACTGCCGAAACCCGCTCAAAGAAGTTGCAGCAGCAACAACTCAAGGCTAGGTCATAGGCAACAATGTGTGGCACACTAATTGTACAAGTGTGTGTGTTTGTGTGTGTTTTTTGGAACACGTGTAGAGCAAGTTTCTAACAAATCGAATACCTAGCCCTAACCCTAGCAATAAACTAGGCGACTGCCTGCATGCCCGACTGCCAGCTTGCCCGCGGCGCAGCGCTTGTTATTTTAATTTCCGCCTAAAAGTATGCAACAAATTGAAAGGATTACACAAAGTTTATGCAATGCAGCAGTCACCGAGCGTGGCGGCAACTTAAAACGACAAGACAAATGCGACAATTTAAGCGCGTTTTGCCCCGTTGGCGCAGCCTCTGGCTCCGGCTCCAGCTCTAGCTCTGGCTTTGGCGCTGGCTTCGGTTCTGGCTCTGACTCCCTGGCACGCAGCAACAAACTCGCGCAAATTGTTAGTGTTGCAGCCACAGCAACAGCACTAACAAAAACAAGCGAGTTCGCCTGTCAGCTGCACAATACTCTATGACAACACTCCATAGATGAAAGTCTAATCTGAGCACATCAGTTGATGTTATGATAATTAAGATTTGTGAAAGCAAAGAAAAGATTATGCTGTCATCCAATATGAAGATTGAAGCATAGAGTATTTATTCTTGGATATACCCCACTTGCTACTGGGAACAGTGTAGCACTAGAGCACAACAGCACACACACTGCATAGCATAAAATTAATGTCAAGCAAAATGGAGAAACAGCAGTAGTGCCAGCAGCAGGCAGTCGCCATCAGCAGCCCGATTCAGTTGCAGCTGCAGCTCTGGAGGCAACACCAGAACCAGCTTCGACTCCAACTGCGTCGCGATTTTATGCTCTAACTATGTTGGACGCCTCTGCAACGGCGTCAGCCAAAAACTGCGCCAAAATGATGTGGGACGTCGCTGGCTTGTTGTGGGCGTTTGTTGCACTCGCAACTTTTGTTGCATATTCAGCAGCAGCAGCAGCAGCAACAGCAATTCGCTTCTTGAAAATAAAACTTGGCAACGGCTGGCTTTGAGGCGCTAATATGATCGCATTTTGTGGCAAGTCAGCTTGCAACTGGCAAACCATAAAAACTGTGTCGATGATGTTGGCAAATTGTGCGTGGCACAGCATAAAAATGTCGCCGACATGCAACACGGCGGCGCCACGTAGCCACGCAGCTTAATTGACATCCCATAGGTCAAAGCGTGTCTCTATACAAGCTAAGGAGAAAGGGAATAGGGCATGCGTATGCCATTGCCATTTGCCATTTGCCATTTGCCATTTGCCATTCGCCATTCGCCATTTGCTCATTTGCTTATAGATAACATATGTAGATGACACCATTAAGGTGGCAAGTGGCATGCAGATGCAGCTTTGTCAGCTCCCTTGACGCTCTAATGAGTGCATATTGTGCACTGCCAGCCTCTGTATTTGCAAATGAGGCTTTGTTCTCGAAGCCTTTTGGGCTACCCGAAAAATTAGTGAGAAATCAATGCAACAACTCACAAAAGCTCAAAGCTCTTGTCATTTCGGGCACGTCGCACACCAACATTAAAGCCAACACGAAGAGTGGGCGGCTGACTGGGCTGAGTTTATGAACCCTTTTTTTTTTTGAATTGTAGCGGAACTGACCCCGACACGGTCGTATTTTGGGTTTGAAAAGCACTTAAGCTGTATTTTGCATGTTTTTTTTTTTTGGGTAAGCATCTTAACTTCGAGTTTTCACTTTTTGTGCGTGCTGATGTTTTGTTGTGCTCCCGGTTATTTAATGAGTCATGTGCTTGAAGGTAATTCATAAATACTTAATTATAACTTGCTGCCCGGAGCAACCGACGGACCCCAACTTATCAGCTCGTACACGATTTGTATGATTTCATCCACGTTGATGTTCTTTTGGCTCAGTCTGCCCAACGGGGCCTGCAGGTCCTTTGAATGCTGCAATAAGTTGCTACGTATGAAATTTTAATGCTCAGTCGCAGCGTAAACTGCACTCACCCGGGCCGCGCTCACCAGCTCCCTGAACTCCTTGTCTTGCAGCGCCTTATAGAACTTGGCAAAGTCGCCGCCCTCCCGCACCTTCCGCGCCATCAGACTGTAGAACTGAGCACGCGGCAGACTCTGCACTGCCTCGTGCAGAAAGGTACTCAGATCACGACGCAGCATCAGCTCCACGGGCACAAGCCGCGACAGCTGCAAGCCACGCAGCCTGTTGGGCAGCTTGTCCACCACGCTGGTCACATCGTAGCCCGAGCCGTACTCCGTCACATAGTCAATCAGATCGGCAAAGTCCGGCGCCATGCGAATTTCCCGCCAGGTCTTGCCGAACTCATCGCTGCGCACAAACTCCACGGCCTGACGAAACTTCGGATCGAATATATAGTAACGCGCCGCTATATAGCCAATGCGGCGTCGCGGCACCAGCGCTATAAAATCCCGCAAATCAGCGCGCAGATCAGCAGCTGCCAAGCAGCAAAAAGCGCAGAGCACCAGTCCAAAGAGTAACCAACCGTTAGCCATGCCGACAATTGAACAACGTCTGTCCAAGTCGAATTCAGCCAAGCCATTTATAATGCCCATCGCGAACTATGCGACAATATTTGGCTTTGTCAAAAAGTGTCGGAGGTGCTAATTGATTGCTGAGAGAGCTGTGTGCCTGCTTAAGCGATTTATTGAACTGTAAATAGTCAATTAGCTGCCACTTTTACTTTCACCTGTCGTGACATTGTTTTGTCAACGGCAAGAATAGTTCGCTTAGAGCAAAGACGAACGCGAAATACACTAGCAAAGGAGCTGATAATAATGTTTGCCAAATTAGTGCAACTTATGACAGATTTGACAGTAAACTCTCGACCAGCTGCGACTAGAGTATTAAGCTTGAGGAGTTAACATTGCCATGCTTCATAGTACTGAAGCTGGGATGCAAAAGCAACATAGAATAACAATAGTGCTCTGGAATATCAAGAATCTACTGTAAACGAAGCAAGCTTTGCGAATTATTGTCAGCTCCGCGTTCAACCACTTTATTCAGTTAGTCAAATATAGTTTCTATTCAATGTAGTACGAAGTAATAGAGCAGATCTGTTAAATCTGTTTAAAATAAATATATTTATTATATTATATTATTGTATAATATTTTATATTTGTTTTCTACGTATATTTGTTATATGCATTTATTTATTTATATATATATATATATATTTATTTTTTTTTATTTTTTTTCATTTATATATTTATTTATACATGTTCAAAAAAATGTTAAAAAATATGAACTTCAAGCACTACATAAAATATATAAATTAAAAATTAAGTAAAAACCCTATAATTAAGATTTCAAAAATGTTAAAATCTACATAATATATATTTTTAATACATATATTTGTATATTGTTATATATAAAGTCCAACTGAGCCTTAAGTTACGATATTTTATCATACAAAATATTTTTAAAAATTTTAGCTCTATTTCAAGTTCAAAATAGAGCTAAAACTCTATAATTTATATTAAAAAATATACAAAAATAGGTTAAATTTAACGAAATAAATATATATTTACATAATTATCTACTGCTAGCCCAAGTGAGCTCCAAGTAACAATATTTTATTATAGAAAATAGTTTTTAAAAATCCAAGCATTTCTTTCACCTTCAATTTCTATACAAAAGTTGCTGCCAGATTAAAAGCAGCTGCCTTAACCACTCAATCTACGTTTCCATGGCAAAGCACACTTGTAACTATAACAGCTTTCTAGTAAAATGCTTTTCATGCCAATCTTGACCTCAATTTTAGCCACTTACTGGCCAAATATTTCCCAGATTGTGCCTACACACAAATTTGTATATATTCTTTGAAGTAATTATAGTATAGCCGTCCAAGCAGTCACAATTTGTAAGAAAGGCGTGATACCATTTGACAGAGTATTAGATTCTGGACGACTTATTGGCTAGCTTATTGCAAAATACAACAAGACTTTAACTACATTTAGAGCACACTTGGCTCGGCTCAGACTAATGCGCACACATAGAATAAACATAAACAATCAGCTTGCAAGCTAAACAACAATAAATCAAGTGTAAATTCTTTTGTCTGCCCGACTGACTGTAATTGCTCCCATTTGTGCATTAAAAATCATGATTGATTTCAGCTCAGGCAGACGCACAATAAGCTCTACTCTATCTGGCCATCTGCAATGTGTGTGCGATGTGAGCCAAAAATTAGAATTCAATTGCGTGATTTATGCAACTAGCAAATTTACGACTCGCAGGAGATTTTCCATTGCCCAGATAAATGCACTCTTCGACCAGACAAAAACAACATTTACATTTGTAATTTGCCACAGCTCACATTAAAGTCGCCAAACACGAAGCAGGAAAAACTGTTGCGGGGACTCGGAAGCCACATTCACAACTATATTCCATGTCCAGGCCATGTCTACGCCTTGGGTCGGCATCAACACTAATGCTTATCTAAATTTCTGTTAATGAAATCTACTGATAGGTCAAAGCTTTTTGCTTCCATCGTCTGACTTCCGGCATTTGGGTCAAAAAGCGGCTAAACAATGGGAGAACTTGCTACAAAAATTAACAGGAGCGGTCTCATAGCGTGCCCCACAAAGAGGCCTAATTGTGAGAGAAAGTTGCTTAGGTTAGACCTTGAAAAGGTAATTTCTTAAATAATAAATATCAAAATATATATTATTTTTAATACAAAAATTATTTAATTTATAAAAAATAAAAATATCATAATAATAAATATAGCTTTAAAAAAAAATAAAAAAGAAAAGTAAACATTTTTTATATATTTATAGTTCTTCAAGCTAAAAATCAGCTAACTAAATAAATGAAATTAATTTAATACTTATTAAAAAAGAAACATATTTAAGCTTAATACAATCTATACATCTAATCAATTTTAAATATTATTATTTTATATATTGACATAACTTATTTAAAATTTAGGTACTTTTGCTGTATCAATTTATATTTTAAGGAATATATTTCTAACTTATAGTCCAATTAATAAGTCCAACTTTCCGCAGTTAATTATAATTAAGAGTCTAAAGTGTATGTTAGAAATTGTAATTAAATATTTTACTATTTACAGCTGCTGCAAAATATTTAAATAAAAGTAAGGGCAAGGATGCCAGTTCAACCTTCGCTTAGAGATTGTCAACATTTTTATAATTACGAGCAAATTCATTTTTAAATAAAAGTTTAGTTCAGTTTGTAAGTTCTTTTGGATAAATCTCTTGAGCTATAATTTGGTTCAGTTAAAATAAAATAATAAATATAGTCAAGCCAGCTCGATGCCAATCCAATTTACGATATGCGAAGGCATAAGAAAATATATTAAAATAAAATAAAATAAATATATTAATATATAAAAAATAATATTGATAAGCTGCTGAACAAAACTTTAAACACTTATTTCGCTTATTAGGAAAATGAACTTGAATTTCCTTTTTGTTCAGTTGCTTTCTCAAGTTGGCAAGAATTTGGGCCCAACTGATGTGGCTTATAGTTATGGGCTGCTGGCTGAAACGCTCCTGTTTAGGCGAATTAGTCTGCTGAAAAGGGTTGACGTGTAGTAAGCGGCTTCCACACACGCACACACACAAACACACAGACACACATGTGTAGTACAAAAGGCAAAACAAATAAGCCATAAATTTGCATGCCAACAACAATTGGCAATTTTCCGTAGGTTAAAGCATAAACCGGCAAACAAACTGACTAACAAACAAACAAACAAACAAACGATAGAACGAACAAGCTGCACGGCTTCGCAGCACAACAAAAAGGTGAGGCTGATCCAAACACCCAACCACCGCCCAACCACCGAAAACAGTCGTAAGTTTAAAGTGGGCATTGTGCGGGGGCGTTCAGTGAAAACGGAAATAGAAATGAAAGCTTTGCGTGGGGCAAGTAGGCCGTTATCGGCGCACAGGTAGCAGCAACGTTGCGTATACGTAACGCACGTGGATGTGTACATTGTGAGGCAGCCGCAGCACAAATGAAGCTGAATTGTTGCGGCTTGTTGTGCGTGTATGTGTATATGTGGGCGAGTGCGTGGCTCGTATCTGTGCGTAATAAGCTCAACATTGGTTGAAATTCTCGTTTTTTTCTGTTCAGCTAGCAGTTGGGCAGTTGTCCAACTGTCCGACTGTACGCTGTAAATGTCCTTTGAAGTTTGTTTATGATTTTCGGATGTTGTGCTCGTAGCCATGGCTGTAGATATTCTTATTGTTGTTGTTGGGCACAAAAAAGCGGCAATCGCATAAGCCGCGCTTAGATTTTGTTGTGCGTATTAGTGAGATTTATGCATTTAGGAAATTAAACATCCTGCATGGCGACTGACTCCAATGTATGTGAAGCCGACTGGCGGTTGGGGAAGGGGCAAGGTGTGTTGTTTATACACATATTAAGTACTTGGGCGTTTGGGTGTGTGTGCGCTCTTGCCACTGGCATCAGTGGCAACGTCGCCGCCGCTGTCATTAATTTTAAATCATGCGTAAAATCGCGTAATGTCGCCAACACAGCCGCCAGCATCCTTTGGGGCCAACATGCACGCCTTTTTTACGCACATATATGTATGTGCATATAAAAAATTGTTGCTCTCTGTGCATGCGTGTGTGTGTGTGTGTGTATTACATGCTGTTTTTTTATACGGCATCACCGTCGCGGCGGCTGCTTGGCGGAAATGCGTTCGACCACATCAATCACGCGACATTGACAAATGTGCATATTTTTGTTGAAATTATATGGGCACACACACAACCACTTATATATATATGTGTGTGCGTGTGTGTGTGCCTGTTGGCCACTCTGGCAACCAATCGAGCAACCAGCCAAGTGGCTGTGCAAATTATTGGCTACAATAGTCCTTCAAATTGGGCAATTTATTGCTTTATTGCTTTTACGTGTTTCGTCTGCGGCTTCGCTGCATTTTTCTGCACTCTTCGCAGCTTTTTTTGCGCCAGCATCTGCTCATTGCTGTTGTTGTTGCCATCACTGATTTATATAATTGCAAATTTAATAATTTGCTATAAAATTTCAAGTCACTTCAAGCAGTTAATGGGCATAAATGTCACAATTTTCGCTGTTTTGCCGTCATCAGATTGTCAATCGGCTCGGCGACACTTCCCGGCTTGCTGCACAGCAAATGCAACTTTTCACATACATTTTGAATATGCACTCAATATTAACTTCCTCGTCAGTTGTTGAATTTCCACATCGATCGCAGTTCACCTAATCGAAACTTCAAAATGTGTTCAAGGATGGAAATTTGTTTAGGCCACATAATTCAGTTTTTCAGCTAAAGCTTAACGTCGAGCACTGATATTTGTTTTTTTTTTTATACAGACTAGTTTGTTCAGAAAAGTTTTGTGATCGTTGTAAATTGAAGTCATAGTTATTGATTCTTATATCTGTTTAGTATATTTTGTGTGTCCTAAATCGCTTCATAAGAATGGCCAAAATACAAACCATTTGCTTTAATAAGTCAGTATTGGGACTGCTGCGTTGTAAACGCGCATTGTTCCATGTACCCAGAGCGCGCTATATGCAGGTCCGCCACAAGTGCGAACATAAAGGTATTGTCGTTGGCGTCTATCTCAAGGATGGTGAAAAGGCTCCCCAGTTGACGGCCAACGGCGAGAGATTCGACATTCGTGTTAGCGGAAAAATCGGCGAACTCATCAAGGAGACGAACATGGATGGAGAACTTGGCAAGGGCAGGTTGTTCAGCAACTTGGACAATGAGTTCTTAACGGTGGCTGTCGTCGGCCTTGGCAAGGAAGGCGTTGGCTATGATGCTGAGGAGGCACTTGATGTGGGCATGGAGAATGTACGTGTTGCCGCCGCTGTAGGCTCTCGAGCGCTGCAGCATCATGGAGCCGACTCTGTTCATGTCGATGGCATGGAGTATCCAGAGCAAGCGGCAGAGGGAGCAGCCATGGCCGTATGGCGCTATAACATCAACAAGCGCAAGAGTAACCGACTTGAAGTGCCCAAAGTAGAGTTATATGGATCGGAAGATGTTGATTCATGGACACGTGGTCTCTTCAAGGCGGAGTCCCAGAACCTGGCCAGGCGGCTCTCCGAAACGCCGGCCAATCAAATGACACCAACAATTTTCGCACAGTCAACTATAGATTCGCTCTGTCCCTGTGGCGTAGCCGTAGATGTGCGATCTATGGAGTGGATTGAACAGCAAGGTCTCAATTCATTTCTGATGGTCGCCAAAGGCTCGTGTGAACCGCCTCTTGTGCTAGAGATCTCTTATGTTGGCACTTCGCCCGAGGATAAACCGCTGCTTTTAATGGGCAAAGGAATAACGTTCAATAGCGGTGGTCTCTGCCTCAAGCCAAAGACGGGGTTAGACGAATATCGAGCCGACGTCAGTGCTGCAGCGGCCGTGGTGGCAACGATTCGGGCAATCGCAGCTCTATCGTTGCCCGTCAACGTGACCGCCATGCTACCCCTCTGCGAGAACATGCCCTCGGGCATGGCAGTAAAGCCCGGCGATGTGATCACCCTCATCAACGGAAAGGCTCTGTGTATTAAGAATACGTCCGCTGTCGGGACAGTTATGCTAGCCGATCCTTTGCTTTATGCCCAAAGCACGTACAAGCCAAAGCTAGTCATCGAATTGGGTACGTACTCCTCGGGCACTGTCTACGGGCTGGGTGCTTCCGCGACTGGCCTATGGACGAATAATAGCACACTGTGGCAGCAGTTCGAGAAAGCCGGTTCCATTTCAGGAGACCGCGTTTGGCGCATGCCTCTCTGGCAATACTTCAAGCGTCAGATCGAGCCCAATTTGACGTACGATTTATGTAACGTTGGGCGGGGGCCCGCCTCCTCTTGCCAATCAGCGGCGCTGTTGCACAGGATGGTGCCTTGCCTCGACTGGGTCCATATGGATACCCAGGGCACTGGCTTGACAGTCAAAGATCCTGTGCCGCCATATCTGCAGCGTGATCGAATGTCAGGGCGACCAACCCGCACACTTATCCAGTTCCTGCACCAGTACTCGTGCAAAGCCTAGGTGGATAACTTCCATCATATATTTAATAACCCAGTGACGGCTCAATGGCCACTCTAAACATTAGTTAATGGTCATTGTGTTTTTGTAGCGATTCAAAGACTTGATCTTTGAGTCCGTAAGTGTAGTTTATATTAATTTGATTATATGTGTAAAACATAGTTTTAAAATTAATAAATTTTATGTATTTTTCTACAATCCAAGATTGCCAGCCTTGAAGTCAATTGATTTGGGATTTGTCTTTAGAAAGCTAAAATATTTGTCCCGGGGGTCTGCCAAATAACAAGCCATTCGATCGCTTAATCTGGCTATTAACTAGGAGAAAAGATTTATCTAGATTCTTAAAATATTATAGCACGCAACATTCTTCAGGCCTTACTAAAAATTCTAAAAACTAATTGTCGAAACTGACGTAAAGCTCTATGCTGCCATATATACATAAGCAGACATATGTATGCCTCCAAGCAAGTCGCAGGGGTAACTGTGATCTGGGTATCCATGGCCCAGGCTGAGACGACAGCCGCAAGTCACTTTGACTCGCACTCGTTTGACATGTATTATTTGTGCGTACAAGTTGTGCATAAGTAATGAGGCCGCAGGGACAAGAAGGGATCGGACTCTTTCGCCATGGCAGAGCCGCAAGTCGTGCGTATGGAAATTAACCACAAATGCGCCTAAAAGCATACAGCTGTGTCCTGTGGCTCCTCCGGCCGTGTCCTTCTGTTCCTGGCATGCCAAATTATTTAGGTTCTGTTGCTGCTGCTGCTTCTTCTGTTTCTCCCACTGCTGTATGATGTAGACTTTAAATGAATTGTGCCAACGTGTTTTCATTACGTTTTACTTTTACGTAACTGTGAATAGATTTCATTTCGTTTCGTTTTCCTCGAATCCTGCGCATTTTTATTGCCAACGTCAGAAGCGCGGTAAAGAAGTTGGGTGCTTGGTCGGTGCGAGGGTGTGGGGGCATGGGGGAGGCGGCTTGTTTGTTGCTTAATTGGAAGGAAATTAAAAAATAAACAAGCAACGTTAAAAGTAAATACTACACGTTTGCGATTACCTGAGACTGGACCCGGGCCAGAGCTCACTGCATGCGCGTAGAGTGGCCCGAGGGCGGTTTGGAATTTAATTTTCATTTCACGCTCGCCCCCGCTCCCGCTCCGGCTACGGCTACGGCTGCGGCCCCGCGTTAATCTCAACTTCATCTTTGGATCCGCATTCTGGCCCTTAACTGTGCAAATAGATTTCTGCGCGTGTTATTTTTGTTTGCTTTCGACTTCGTTTGGCTTGCTTTTGCAGTTAAAAAACTTTCAATTGTTGTTGCGCAATATTTGCCCTGAATTAATTAAAAGTCATTGACGCTCATCAATTGGCTAATTGAAGAGCTCGCTTCGAGTCGCTCGGCCGCAGCTCCATAACTCCGACAATATCCAATCATATTGGACTGCCCAATTTGTCATTCAAGGCGCCACTGGCCTGTGTAAATACACTGCTATTCAAATTTGCAATGGTCACAGGCAAATTGTCAAAGGGCATCACTGATTCCGCATAGCTACGAGTGCGGCACGTGATGCCAGGCTTCACTTGCTCCAGCTGCAACAGAAATAATCGCAGTATCTGCGCTGGTGAGGCTTCGACGGCTGCTTCTGGCTGCTCCTGGCATAACTAATAAGACACTTATTATGCTGTGGGGCTCTGGTTACGTTATACCAGTTTAACGATATCACGTACATACGTTAACTAACGCTAACTACGTCGTTAAGTGTGTTGCGGTGGGTTGCCCTTGCCTGTGCCCTTGCCTTTGCCGTTACCTATGCCAAATGCGAGCGGCGCTTGAGCAGGGACAACGCCAACGCAGCAGCCTGTACTAATCAAGCTGCCTCTGCCATTGCCAGTGCTGGCACCATGCTGCGCGGACAACGTGTAAGCAATGGGCCGCCAGTGGCGCCTGTCGAGCTACTCAGCTAAAATTTACATTTTGCTGGCAGCCAACCACTACAGCAGCTACAACTAGAACTACAAGCTAAAGTGGGCTTTGCGTCAGGAGTGACCGACTAGCCAGATACCTGTAGCAACACGGCTTATGGCTTTTGCCTTGACTTGTAGAAGAAGTCGAAGCTGATATCGCTTAATAAAAGCAAGCTCAAGGCAGAGAGCAAAGCCAGGAGTCACGTTCCCAGCGGCAAGCTCAGCTCTTGGCTTATCTTACACAATGTCTGTCTTTATATATATTATTAAATAGTTAGATAGATATTAGGAGATTTGCTTTAAAACACATTTAATGGCAACTAAACTAAACTCTCAGCTATTCATGAAGACAACAGAGTGAAGCACTATTAGTAATTCAGCTTGAATATTTAATGCTTGACATAGTCTAATCAACTTTTAGCTACGTCTGCTCGTGCTAATGCCCATGCGAATCATTTGGCATGGCTGCAGGGTATATAACAAGGGTATAAACCTCTCAGGTTGGCCGTATGGGCTATATGGCTTTGTTGTTTTAATAACCACGATCACGTCGCATTAAAAGCACACAGTAAGGCCGTGAGGCTTAGTTAAACGCTGCTAATTAGGCTTCTCGGCGCATAACTTTAGGCGCAGAAGTAGGCTATTAAAAAGTGGCTCAAATATTTGCGCAGCCATAAAAGCGTTAATCAGGCAGGCACTAAACACAGCAAAGCAACAATGGCAGCCAACCTGGCACGCAACTAGCTGGCCAAATTATGCGAGCAATGCCAAAAACTTGCCGCAAATGAGCCACTAAAAACATGCCACTTACATCAGGTAGTAGCTAATAGCCAGCTACATATACGCTAGATGCTATGTGCCCGATAAACAATAGAATTTGCAAAATGCGAGCGCTTTTAATTATGCCTGGACAGTTGCCAAAAAACTGAATGGCGGAATGCCACAAGTTGCCAAAAAAAATCTATTTCAATTGAAAATTGCCAGAGACAAGCGACAAGCGACAAGCGACTGGCGACTTGTGACTCGCAACTTGCAACTTGCAACATGCCGCCTGTCTGCGCTATACAGAAAACAATAAACATTATGGCCATATTTTATATTTCCGACAAAAATGCGCAGAGCGTGCAACAGAAGAAACAGCGGGCCATAAAGCCAAAGCCAAAAACTCGTAGCCAACTCTGGCCAAACAACTTTTGGCATTGGCTGCCAGTCACAATTGGAGCTGGGTGTCCGAAGTGTCTGGCTGCCAAGTGGCTGGGGCAGCCATTGAATATTGGCTGGCATTACGTTAACGATATGCTTTAAACAATTCCAGCACTCGGCGGCTCATGAATAATCCTTTTCAGCCTAATCACAAAACAGCCTTCTCCGCGCCTCTCTCGCTCTCTCGCTCTCCCTGTCTCTGGGATATGCAAATGTAGCGCGTAACGAGAATTGTCACAAAAGCCAAAATTAACTCTCTTACAGGAATGTTTTTGTCACCTATGAAATCGATTAAGTCTAAATGGAAATTCAGGTAACTGGCTGGAGAAGTTGCCAAATTGAATTTAGATGGCTGCTTAAAAGGCGAAAACTTTTGCACAAATAAAAATACAAAACAGAAATAAAACAAAGCCGGATTTTGTAGGGAAAACAATGTTGGAGCGACGCATTGTTCCAGTGCCCTGAATGGGGTATTTGCCAGCTTAAAGCTTATAGCCAACTATCTAACTTGAATTAAAAGCAAACACGCCAAGAGAAAGAGGGAGACAGCCAGAGAGAGAGAGAGAAGGGTGTAGGAAGTGTGCTTTGTATAATTATGCAAATGCGTTTGATTGTGAAAATTGTGTGCGCCAGCGCCAACAAGTAGCCAACACTTTCCAATGCGCCACTTTGAATGCCGAAAAACAACACATTTGCATAATTATGCAATCTAACGGGCAACACCCACACACCCGCACACACGCACACGCGCATACACACAGCGAGCAAAGTGAAATTTTTGGCTAATTCACCGCAAAGTTTCGGCCACTCGAGCAAAAGTTTCGATATTTCGCTTAGCTTTTTGCACCAGAATTTATTGCGCAGGGCCTGAGCTTCAGCTAAAATTTGCATATGTAGCACACCAGCTATCACCTATAACAACACAACCACCCTAAAACCCGCCCACCCACGCACCAAAGCACCGCCTTTCAACCCAACAGTAAATTTAATGAAAACAGTTCGAACATTAAGTTGCATTGAAAAAATGAAAATTCCTATTTTCCTCGCAGATCCGCCAGCAGCTTGGCGATCTCCTTTTTCATGGCGATGGCTCGATAGGCCAACAGCTGGGCAAGCATGGCGTGCTTCTCAATTAGAGCGACGGCATCGTTGTCACCGATGCCGCTCTGCTTGGCCAGCCCCTTGGCCGAGTCCAGAGCCATGTAGGCGTGATTCAGGGCCGCGGTCACCTTGCTCTCGGCCTCCTGGTAGGCAGCCTCCAGATCTAAGCCGCTTTTATCCTGTTCGACTTTCTCGATAATATTCTTGGCCTCCGACAGCAAGGCGGCCGTACTGCTAGCCATTTCGAACACGAATTTAGCCACCGATTCTGCATTTAACTGGCCCGATCTCGCTTGATCACTGATATCTTTACTGGACTTGTATATATCCGACTGCAAGGTCTTTGTGCTTGTTATCACATGCATTTCCTGGCCAGACTTCGATTGATCGCCAGTATCATCATTGCTTTCATTCGAAACATTAACATTATGCTTGCCTATGACTGATTTGGTATCCTCTAACCCTAAAGCATCGGTTCCACCAACTGTATTTTGTGTGCTTACATTAAACATTGTCGGAGCACCGACTGTGGACGCATCAGAAGTCGGAGGCTTACGACTGCAGGGATCTATCTTCTCTTTGGGCTTCGGGCACGGTTTAACAGTTTCTTCAGTTTTTTCGACTGGCAAAACACACACTCTTTTCTTCTCTTGGCATTCGTCTTTCTCTTCCTCTTCTGCCTCAGATTTTTGCCTAGGCATGCATTTCTTTTCATTTTCCTTTTCCTTTATTTTCCTTTTCTTGGCCTCTTTTTCCTCAGGCGTGTCCGACGTGATTTCCAAGTCAACATGATGCGGCTTGACATCAGCCTTTGCTGTATCGTCTCCTTGAATTATAGTTTTGTTACAAATGTTAAATTGAGCCTCTCTTTTAGAAATATCATCCTCGTCAGGCTCGATTGGTTTCTTCGGCGGCTCAACAGTTTGTTTTTTCAATCTTTCGGCAGCCGCAGTTTCCGCAACCTGTTTCCTCTTCTCTCCGGCTTTCAGCAGAACTGACCTAAACAGAGCGATAGTTTTTTCTACCGCGGTCTTGGCGAATTCAATACCCTGTGAGGCCAGTTCTAAAGCATAGTCGACTGCCTGACTTTCGGTCTTAGACTCATCTTTGCCTGTGGCTGCTTTGGGCTCGGAACCTTGTGCTTCGGCTTTCTTTACTTCGGAAGTTTTTGCTTCGGTTTTTTTTACCTCGGATGTGCTTTCATCGGAAGTTTTTACTTCTTTCTTTTCTTTCTTAGGTTGAGGCTTGTCATTTTTCGCCGGTGCAGCTCCAGTTGGCGGTGTTGGGGGTGTTTTTTTCGGCTTGCCATCTTTAGGATCGGGCGTGTCACCTTTTGACTTAGGCTCGTTGCCAGCTTCTGGCAAAACTTCTTCGGCTGGTCCCGGTTTCTGCTCTTCGGGCGTATGTGGCCAAAATGTGGGCTTATTTATAAAGTCGGGCGCCTCATTGGGGTGGCTGAAACAAAATTCCTCCATTGTCATCTCATTATAAGACTTCATCATTTTCAAATGCTCCATTTTCTTTTCAAGCTCCTTGATGCGCTTGTTCGATTCTTCCTTGTACTTTTCGATCTCATGTTCAACACATTTGGTCAGCTCTTCAGACTCTCCAAAGTACTTCGAGTGGTCAATTAGCGAGTGACGATTGGCGAACATGTTGTCCAACCGTTCGTATTTCTTTTCGAACTCATCCACCCAGCTCACCATTTCCTTTCTCACGTTCTCTCTGTAATAGGTCCAATCAATTGCGGGCATTTGTGATGGAAATTTTTCAAGTCGTCTGCAAGCGAAAAAAGCGCATTCATATAATAAAAGACTTAACACTCAGATGATCATAGAAAGTATCTGATCTGATCTCTCTCTCTCGCCTTCTCTCTCTCTCTCTTCATTCATTCTAGGATCTTATAGACACACTTACGATTTGTACTCATTGGTTATATTGGCAAACTGTTTGAATTGCTTGCGCTGATTGTGCGGAACTCGCTTATATAGCTCGGATAACTCAACTCCGCATTCGGTACTCCCCTTGCTTTTGCCAAGGCACTTGACAAATCCTTCCCACATGTTGGTGGTTTAAACTATGTAACGAAACGGTGTTTAAAACAATCATATAAAATATATATATATATATATATATTTAATTATTAAAATTATAAAATAATGCGCGTGTATGTTTGAATGTAAATACGTATTGCTTGTGAGTGTGTGTGTGTGAAAATCTGTACAATGTCAAGTCAGCTGGCTCAAGGGTAAGTTGACCTCTCGTAGCATAGCCCATACGCCAGCCAGAAGTATTCAACATAATATTTTGAGTACTTCCGTTTCAACGAGCCGGGCCATAAAAGCTGCCTTTTACGAGCTTCGAGCTGCTAAAAATTGCATATTCATGCATTTTCAATTAAATCAAAGTCAGACGCATTGGCAGCTTCGACTAAGCAGTTGACAAACTGACAATAAAATCGAAAATTAATTCCATGTCACAGGCAACGCAACTGCCGCCCCTGCTCCAGACATGAGGCGCACCAAAACTTAAATGTAATTTTTTTTTTTTTTTTTTTTTTTTTTTTTTTCGTTTTTATTTCTTTATTTTGTTGCAGCTTATTGTCTTAGACTCTATAGCGCATTTAGCTCTAAACCTTAACTAATGGGAGGGCAGATATGCCAATTATTCTGCACTTGTAGCTACTATCTTAATTAGTTCTAATATTGTCTAGAGGATGCAATCTCTTCAGTCTTCGCCTATTGTTGTTTATAGCCAGGTTGCTTGCGAGATGGTTAGGATGCGCTGCAAGTCTGTCCGCGTATCTTGAACTGTGTCGCCCAATGAGTTCAGCAACTGTGGGAATTGCTAAATCCCTATGTAAGACTGAGTTTCTTACAAACCAGCTGGCTCCAGTCCATCTGCGTAGTGCTTTATTCTGCAGGGTCTGAATTTTGTTCCTTGTAGTCTTCGCCGAGGAGCCCCATAGAGAGATACCATATACGAAGGTTGGGACAACTATTGCCTTGTAGATGGCGGCCTTGCTGCTGTAAGACAACTTGCTTGAAGCTCTCAGCATCCAGTCGAGGGTTTTTAGCTTGCTTTTGCATTTTGAGGTTACTTGACTTATGTGCGCTTTAAAAGTCAGCCTTCTGTCAAGAGTGATACCAAGGTACTTTACTTTTGAGGCTTTGGGAATAGTGGGCCCCAATGCAACGCTTGGGCAATCTCCTCTTCTAGTGGCGAAGGTAGTATGTACAGACTTTTGTGCATTAATGGTGATACACCACCGTTTTGCCCAGCGTCCGAAAGAGTCCAGATATTTTTGTAGTGAGTCTGAAGCTTCTTGCGCAGATACGTGACGTGATAAGATGGCGGTGTCATCTGCATAGGTCGCTATGAGTACTGCATCTGTACTTCCTATATTTGGCTCGGGAGTTGGCATATCTCCTGTGAATAAAGTATAAAGTGTTGGGCCTAGAACACTACCCTGTGGTACTCCAGCCATAATTGGTCTAGTCAAGGATACTGTTTGCCCCCTTGACACTTGGAAGGTTCTTCCAATAAGGTATGAGGATAGCAACGCGAAAAATGGGGCTGGAAGGGTGGTCCTCACTTTCTGCAGCAGTCCCAGGTGCCAAACTCGATCAAACGCCTGTTTGATGTCTAAAAAGACGGCAGAGCAGTACATCTTTTCTTCAAAGGCTCCAAGGATATGGTGCACAACTCTGTGAACCTGTTCCGGTGTTCCATGCTGTCTCCTGAAGCCAAACTGATGGTTTGGAATGGCCTCCTGGCGTCCCAGATGTGTCAGTACTCGTTCCAGAAATATTCTTTCGAATATTTTGGAGAGTACTGGCAACAGGCTAATTGGTCTGTACGACTCAATTTCTCCCACGGGTTTGCCAGGCTTAGGAATCATCACAATCACGGCGCGCTTCCAGCAGGCTGGAAAGTGCCGGATGCGGAGCATGGCGTTGTACACCATAGTTATGTAGTCTATGGTGGAGTCAGGCAGTGCTCTAAGGACTCTGCCGTTTATTAGATCATATCCAGGGGATTTTTTTGCCTTCACTCTTCTGATGTGTTCAAGAACCTCTTCTTTTGTACATCCAGTTATCTGGTCTTCAGCTGGGAGGGGCGAGAGAACGATGTCTTCTGTTGCTTCGATTTCTGAGGCCTCTGCGGTAATCACCGGCGTGAATTGGTCTTGAAGGTGGTTTGCAAAAGCCTCAGCTTGAGCTTCGTCTCCAATGTGCCAGGAACCAGAAATGCTCCGAATGGGATGACGTCGTATTGGCTGCCGTTTGAGCTTTCTTGTAAATTTCCATAATTGAAACTCTGCGTCAGTGGGCGATTCAGCTCGTACCAGCGCATCGCTGATACACCTCTTTTGAAGCAGGGCGAGAGCAGCTTTAAGATGCCTCGTGGCTTCGTTGTACATGGATTTGGCATCAGGCGTGCGTAATCTTAACCAGCGTCTCCTGGCCCATCTTTTGTGTATTAGTAGGTGTTGGGCCTCCAAGGTGAGGGGGATGTTGTACGGAGACTGTTGTCTTGTTTGGCAAGATGGTGGGGCGGCTTGGTGCGCAGCTTTGACTATTTCTTCCTGCAGTTTGTTTGCTGCGTAGTCCACGTCTTCAGGAGTGTTAAGTTCCATTTCTATGTGCAAAGAGTAATGGAGCTCGCGCCTAAAGACTCCTAAATCTGATCCTGCTGGCAGTAGTTGTTTCCTAATGGGCAAGGGCTGTGGCTGCGCGTGGATTGTGACTATTAGTGGCAGGTGGTCAGAGGATAGGTCCAAGGATTCTTCAATGGTCAATTGCCGGTCACAGATGCCTTTGTAGACAGCGAAGTCGATTGCCGAGGGCCTGTGTCCATTAATTGGGTAACGGGTGGGGGCTCCAGTCGCCAATATGCTGAATTGTAAGTTTTGAATCGCCTCAAATATGACTTCTCCGCGACGATTCGCACTATTGCTTCCCCAAAATGGGTGCCATCCATTCCAGTCGCCGCCGATGAGGGTCTTATTCAACCTTTGGCCTAGAACCTGTTCCATGTGATGATCACACAGACCAGTGTTTGGCGGAAGATAAATTGACGCAACTTCGATCGCTCCAATAGACGTAGGCAGGGTGATGGCTGAGACCTGCATTGTTGCGTTGCAAATTGGCAGTAAAGGTGTATGCGGTATTGTTGCTCGTATGAGGATTGAGGATCCACCAAAGCAGTTTGCTCCTTCACCATGAGCCTGATAGTGTTCGTATCCGAAAATTTGTGTAGTGGGGCACTCATGAGTTTCTGTTATTAACATTATATCTATGTTTTCTTGTGAGAGAAACGCAGCCAGTTCCTGAGTCTTGTTTCTCAGGCCATTGGCGTTCCAGATACCCACACGTAAAGCCATTATTTGTAGGCAAGCTTGGTTATGATGGCCATTAAACTGTTTAGCATGGTTGCTTGTTGGGATTGTACTTCTCGCATCGCTTTGAGCTCGGCATTAATTGCGTCAAACTGACGTTGTTGTTGCTGAAGCATTTCAGTGAACAAAGTGTCACTTGTGGTATTCTTATTTGACGGTCCACCTCTAGCGGCCTGTGCGTAAGAAACACCACTAATAGGCGTTGCAAAGCTCGTGGCTTGGGTAATGCTCCGGGGCCTTGTAATTTCGGAAGCAGTACTCGGACCCGTAGACGGTGTTTGTGTGGGACTCCTTTTTTGTGCTGGGGATTGCAATTTGCGCAACCGCTTGTATACTTGGCAGCCCTTATAGTTGGCTGGGTGCTGTAACTCACAGTGCACACAAGTTGGTGCCTGGTCCTTTTCGCGGGTGCAGTCTTTGGATGCGTGTTTCCCGGCGCAACGCACACATCTGGGAGCTTTGTGGCAGTAGCGTTGTGTGTGTCCAAATTCTTGACAGCGATGGCATTGTGTCAGGTCGTTGTATCTTCTTGGCAGTTCCACTGTGCAGCGTTGCCTGCAGACAACTCGAATGTCCAAAATTTCTTTGTTGTTGGGGGCCTGAGCCACGTCAACAAAAAATATATTTAGCGGTGTTTTGTCCATACGGCTCAGTGGGTTGTGCACATTTGTAATTGTGTGGCCTTTGGTTTCCAATTCCTTTTTAATTAGTGTTGTATCAGTGCTGGAGTGAAGCCCTTTGAACACGACTCTATATGGTTTGTCCTCCTTAAGCTGGTAGCAGTGGAACTCCAATTCCAGCTTAGTAAAGTGGTCTATAACTCTGCGATAGTCCTCACTGCATTGGGTTAATACACCTATGTTATTCTTCTTTGGCTTAATTACGTATGATTTAGCATCAATTACTTTATCTATTATCTGTTGAAGTAGGGCCACAGACTTGATGTTTGGACACCATATGGGGGGCGGACGAGGTTTCGGAGTAGTTTGCTGGTCGGTCAATACTGGGGCTTCTGGAGCTACAGGTGATTCGCTGTAGTCTTCATCTTCTTCTACGAGCAGTGAAAATCGATTTTCTGATATTAATGCTGCATTGCTGGTGCTTGGTTCGTCGAAGATGAGCCTTTTCTTGATGGTTTTTGGTGAATTTGGCTGTTTACGTTTCGTGTTTTTGTTGTTAGTGATGCCTTGCACGGAGGCGATATCTATTTTTGAGTTTATTGGCATGATGGAGGCTTGCCTATTTGCCATCACAACGTTAAGCTGGGCTTGCATTTCTGCATTTACCTTTACAGCTGTAGCGAGGTTATTGACATTAGATGTCATCGCGGATTGTGCTTTTGAGTGCAGGCGCACTCGCGCCAAGCGACGAAATTTCGTAAATTGCAATTAAAGCAATTGAGTTACGCGGAAGCAAGCGATAAGAAAACGCTGCGTGTGCGGTTTTTGTTGCTGTTGCGTTGAAGAATGCACCGCAAAGTTCTATTTTTAGAACTCTGCAGCAGTAGAGCTTAAGCGAAGGCTGTTCGAATTCACGTCTTTACAGGTCGAACGACTGATCGCGATGTAAATGTAATTGCATAAGCAATATGCGTGGGCGGCAGAGGGTAAGGAGAAGGCGGGGTGGAGGTGTGTGTGTGAGTGGTAATCGAACGAAATGAAAGTCACAGCATCACAGACACCCTACAGGCCAAATGTGCAGCAGAGTCAGAGTTATACCAGCAACACCACAGCCGCTCCCATCATCAGCGGCAGTCGCCCACGAGCATAC